TCTATTTTCTATCGTCTTCATGCCGGAACGAAATTGGCAACAAATCAAATAAATGATGTTAGAATTGTTAATATAAACCTAGAAACCTGAACAAATTACACTGAACATTCCGGTGCTGAGTTAGCTTTCTGATACATCAGCAAAAAAAAAAAAAAAAAGAAAAGAAAAAAAAGAGAAGGAGGTGAGGAATTACATATCATGTTATGCCCAACTAGACCTTCCTTTAAGGAGATTGAGAGCGGTGATGCTACCATCACACGGGGATGCTACCATCTTTCTTTAGCTGAGAGAAAATTACTTCAGTTCCTGCTATTTCTCTGTATTTCTCTATATGCCAACAGATACCAGTCTTCAAGACTTTTATTAAATTAATAAGCTTTAACACTGCTCAAAGTTTCTGAAAAGTAATTGTAATCATAACATAGCTCCTGCTATTTCTAAGTCTAGTTCTTCACAATCTGTGTTACCTGGCTTGTATGCTGTGTGCACCTTGATAATTCTGCATGTTTTATCATAATTGGTCATATAGAATCATATACATACTCTTAAAGCAGGAGAGACTCTGAAGGTTGGGATACAATCTCAGTCCCAAATGGTTCAGAAGCTAGGAGGTGAGGGGTGTGCTAGTATATCTAAAGGGGTAAGAGACAGCCAAGAAATAGAAGGTACAAAAACAAATATGCCAAGGAGCTGAGTTCATGGAGCAATGACTGTATTTGCTTAGGACTTCACATCCTTTTGGAGAGAATATCCTGGGACTGGTTGTCAGAATATAAGATGAATCAGAATGTGAATCCTTGCAAGAGGTTGCGTAGAAAGCGTGGAATCTAATGAATCAGAAATAGAGCCGCTCAAGGCACTTGATTTTTTGCTGTCAGACATTTTCCTTCTCAAAACTCTTACGAGTTTTTTGTTGTCTATCTGTTCAACATAAGGAATGCTTTTACTGCTAAGGAATAGGTAAAACAATTTGCTGGCAGAGGCCTTGCCTCTTGTTCTGTCCAGATAACACCAGCGTAGATCACTATGAGCAATTACAGTCATCAGTAGCAGAGTTTAGAAATAGCATTTCTGCTGTTTAACTCTTGCCATTACATTATATGACTTCTACCATGCAGATCTTTCATCTGGTACAACATCTTCTTCCTTCTTAGCTATGACTCCTGCCCTTCCTTGTCTGTCTGGTTCTAGTTGATGAACAAATACTCTGTGCATGATAACAGAATTTTATGCCTTGCTATGTATTCATTACAGCCCTTAACCAATAGCAGAAAATGATGTAGTAAAAAAGACATTAAGAAATGTTGTTTTCTGATGGCCATTTGTAGCTTGGATTGGGGGCACTTTATTGCTTTATTTACATATTTAGTGAATTCATTTTTCATATTTGCATTTGTTTTCATCTGATATCTATTCTTCAGGTAACAATCATTGCTATGAATGCAAACCTCTCAGATTTGTGCAAAGTCACTCGAAAAACACAAAGCTTTCATTTATGGATAAAAGTAGTTTTTAACACAAAACCCCTTTCACAAGTTTATTCATGTATGGTTATACTCTGTGTCCCAGATCACTGCTCCCTGGCTTATGCTTTATAAAATGCCATGGCACCGAGACCCCAAGATGGATTATATATAATAAAAGGCAGGGACTGTAGTGGGTCTTTATGTGTGTTGCAAGGGAAAATACATGGTTGTGAAACCTGCTGTTCTGAACAAGAACACCCTGCTGTAAGTGAATCCTTAGTTTGGAGACCAACTCCCTCATATCAGAGTCACACTGAAATATGGTGTGTCAGGATAGCCAGGAAAAGGGATTCAGACTCAAACAACGAAAATTCAAGACACCTTCTTTAGTTCTTACTTGTGAAATTCCAAAGGAAATGATCTTCATCTATTTCAGACAGCAGAATGGGCAATGTAAATAGTAACGAGCATCCTGCTGTGAATGAACTTGGCAGCTGAGCTGAGGCAAATAGCATTACCTGACTGTGTTGTTTTTCTCCACCAAAATCTGTTAGCACTCAAAATACTAATGCTCATGTGGAGAAGAAAAATAAAGGAAGAGGGCTGTGTTTCCTCCTAATGAATCTGTTCCTTCAGCTTGTTTACAGTGAGGGCCATTCTCATCTGACAGCACCATCAATATGACCTTACTGTATAAGCAAGCAGAAGGAATAGATGCACACAAAGGTAATGGAGACTTTTTTTTCATTTAGTATTGTCATTCTGAATACTAGGAGATATGAATCACAAAAATATCTCTCTAGTGCAGTTTGCCTGTGGGTTCACATCACCCTCAGCTCTTTTTAAAAGGAGATGTCTGAGTACAAGAGGCAGGTACAAGAGGCCAGCCATTATAGCACTGTGACAGGAGGAAGTTGCAGAAATGCTCACAAACTTTTGGGCATGTGTAGGAAATGTATTTTTTGTGTTTTTTACATTTCCATTGAGATGTCCAGAGTAACTTTACTACAGAAGACAACATTTGTTGTCCACATGGTGTAGGGAACCTGTATCGGCAGGGGGGTTGGACTCGATGATCTCTAAAGGTCCCTTCCAACCCCTACAATTCTGTGATTCTGTGATTCTGTAACATTTATGCTCTAAGTGTTCAGAGGAACCAAAGGTGATGTGAATGTAAACTGATCAAACTTCCTGTTTTTCAAAAGTTCCTGGGCTGTGGTCTATCAATTCTTCTCTGCTATAGCAGAGAAAATAATCTACTGTGTGTGTATTCTCCAAGCGCATTTTATCAGAGAGAGTGCAACCTCTGGGAGAATAAAATATATAACATTTGTCCTGTTGACAAATTACCTCTTGATTGTAAGAATTCTCTTGCTCTGCCTACAGATTTCTATTACCAACCCAATGTAGGGTTAGTCAAGGTATACAGTTAGGCTTTTTCTTTTGCTTACCTGTTCTTCTTAAGCACAATTTCATGCAAACAGCAACATCAGAAGATGCATTTAGTAGTTTCATATTCTTTCCTCTAGAAAGTCTGGGGATTTTCTCAATGTTCATATGAAAGCATTAAAAATAAATGGGGTGACTAAATGGTTTATAATTTTATACACTCAGTTAACATGAAAGCAATTACAAGTGTGTATAATTATCTCCAGAATTACTTAGATTGTATGAGCAGCATTCAAACCGACAATTTTAACTGTTTTCCAGGGAATGTGTTGTTGCATAATACATAGTAAGAATTATCTCCTACAGTCTGAGCTCAGCTTTATTGCCCTATCAGAATTTACTTCTCGGATTATCCTCTTAGAGAATGATGACTTTTATTTTAACCAGTATTCAGAATGCTTATAGATTTCAGCGGGTGACTGGGTTTTGGTTACGGCCTATATAACACTGAGTCTCAAAGCTAATAACACTGGTATCGATGCTCAAACTATTATTCCCTGAATTAAGGGAACCATATTGTGATCAGTGCGTGGTTTGACCTTACGTGGCTGAGCTCTAGTCAGTGAGAGAGACAGAGAAAGTGGTCAAGTATTAAAAAGTGGCTTAGGTTGAAATATAAGGCCAGATAGATCAGTGGAGAAGATCAAGAGATGGAGAGGAGCGTTGTTTGTGGTCAGGGTATGATGTTATATGGTATGGAATATACCTTTGACAAATTTAGGAGAGCTATCCCATCACTGTCCTCTCCCAATACTTTGCTCAGCCCTAGCCTACTCACTGGGGTGCAAAGTGACAAAAACTGTAAGTCTTGATGCTCTGCAAGCACTGTACAGTAGAAGCCAAAACAATGGTGTTCTAATAGCACTATGTTAGGCACAAATCTAGAAATCAGCATCAAGCAGACTGCTAGAAACACTGTCCCAGCTAGGGCCAGTGCAGCATGCAGTCCCATAGCTCCTAAGCAAGGCAAGAAGAGCAAGTCTGGTGATGGCCGGCTATTGCCAGTCAAACACAAAGTGACAACACAGCTTCAGAATCAACCAGGTTGAATACAGACACTGTACAAAAGAATGTGTTAGCAATCTAACTCCTCAGATACAGGTAGATATGAAATGCATAGTGTGATTGACATTATACCAATACATGGAGCACGGAACACTCCTGATGTTCTCATACCTTCAACAAGGTTCTTGCTGCCCCAGCCAGGGCTTTGTCAGTTTTCTTGAAGACTTTGGCAGATCCAGCTTAAAGTAACAGATATACGAACAACTTGTCTGCAGGCCCTGTCTCTTGCCTAGTTTCCATCAAAATTGTTCTAAAGCACCAAAGCTTTGTTTAAGCTTTTTCACCTTGAGAGTCCCTGGTACATAAGGATCATCCTGCTTAGAGAAAGAGTTCAGAAACTGGTATTTTGGGAATCCTTTTTAGAATCTGTCCTTTTGCATTGTATCTCTGTCTTACTCTGTTGTATTGCAGCTCTAACTGCTCTCTTTGAGAATCATGGACTGTGAAGACTGTGCTGTGAGAATGGGAGTGGACCTAGTATCACTAAGGGAAGTATGGGATTTTTCAGAAGGCTTTGGGACTTGCTAATAGTACCCTGGACTCCCCCTTCTTAAAAGAGGTGGAAAAGATCCTTGAACCATTGGGAATTTCAAATGAAACTTAATGGCAATGATTAAAAGTAAAAATATCTCTTAGGCATTGGCAAAGTCAGTGCATGCTCTTTTTGTTAAAAATTAAAAATAAAAATACCAGCAACATCACTGGCAGTACTTGATAGGTGTAGCTCTTGAACCCTCTCAAATCAACTACGGGCCTGTTTGAATCCTGGCATCATAACAGTTCTGTAGGAAAGATAGCCAGTGTATGAATTCTGACATCTCGTGGTGCAGTGAAGAAGGAAACATTCTCTTGGGTGAGTCTGGGGTATCTGGGATGGATGACATCTGGCCTCAGGTTGTGATAGAGCAAATGACAATGGGGCCTTAGACAGAAGGGGTAGAGACCTTCTACATTGAGCAGAACAAGCATGCATGGAAATAACTTATACATAATGAGGAGAAACATACATTTCCATGATGGATGCAGTTCCTGAAAGAGCAAGACTCAAGTGTTTAATTCCACTTTTCAAAGTCACAAAGAATATAATCCATCTAATGGGAAAAATATACACTCCATGGAAAGTTTATATACACATGCAGGAACATATGTTGAACCGATTAAACACAGTTCAGTTAGTTTATTCTGGTTTTGCTTTGTTACACCTATAAATGGAAAAATATGGCATCTGATAATAAATAGCATGCAAATGAAAGTGACCAGACATGAAAGACTTCTTCTGATCAAAAATTTTTTGAAGTCTGATGGAATATTTCCCCATGTCAGAGAGCAGCTGATCCTTCAGCGGAGTACTGAAGCCCCCAATCTTGAATTCTAGCTCCAGTTATGGGCAGGGAACTGTAGTAGCTGTGATAGACTTAGGGAATAACCTCCACCAATTCAGTCCTGGTGGGAGATTAACATAGAACAGTGGGTTGTGTTTTTTTTTAAACCTGCAACCTGTTCAGCTCTTGCTAATTCTAGAGGTGTAAGTACTGCAATTCAGGGGGCCGCTTGTATTTTTTAAATGAAGCAAGTAAAGATGAAGTTGTTAGAATCTTAAATGCTTTCATTTGGTTTAATATACACTTCATAGAGGTGAAGAAAAGAAGCTTCTTCTAAAATACTCCACTAGAACTTTTAATTCATGTCTTGTTTCATGCCTCAAATATGGTTTTTAGTACAGTTTGCGTCCTTGTTTCCTTGTGGAAAAATACTGCAAAGAAATGTCTTTCCTCTTTCCTTTGGCATCACAGCTGTCAAAAGACATTGTTAGATTTTCACAGTGGACAATCTATCAGGCACAATGTCTTGTTATTGAGATGTTCTGAGGAAAAAAAGATGAAGGATGGATAGGTGTAGTGCAGTGGTTACAGAGAGATAGCTGAGGAAAATCTTAATGAAGATTCACAGCATGACATTTAGGTCAAAGTCCAAAGTAAGGTTCATCTGCCTTCAAGGAAGAAGCTGAAAAACAGTAGCTTCTGAAAGGTGTATCTTTCTAGCCTGTAAAAGCTGGCAACTACCACAATCCTATATAGCATCTTAAAACTCCGCAGTCTCCCTGGCTCAGTAAAGTCCTGACGCAGTTTTTTTCTGCCAAGAGCCAGTACTGGCACAGTTAGTTGGATTTCCTGATAGTTCTTAGTTCAGTAGGCTATGCCTGCTATGAAACACAACATATCCAAGCAGCACATTGTTGTTAAAGCTAAAAAAATTTCATTGTATGGGAGAAGTTTATGGTCTTTATCCAGGTGGAAATTCTGAATATAGTATACTCTGAATACATGATGAGGCGTAAAACAGACTATTGTTACCAAGGTGAAGAAGAAACTCTTTGCCTGAGCCCGGAATTCCACATGGGAGTTGATGTCAGGCCAGTATTTCACAGTCAGTCTGCACATCACGTATAACTGGATTATAGTGAGCAAAACACAAACTGCCAGCAGAACTCCGATCAAGCAGTAGTTTAGTACCACCATGGGCATCCCTTCCATCTCTTGCTGGAACTGAAAGCATTGAGAGGAAGGGTATGTTCTAGAGGTGCCATAGTAAGAGAGAAAAACAGGAGCAATCACCAGAGCGCCTAGCATCCAGACAGTTGTCACCCAAATTGTAGTGTAGCACTTGTTGAACTCAAGTTGAAAGAGACGTATTACGATGATAGCAACATAAAAGGTGAAGGTGGTGTACATATGGAGGTAGATGATGGCACTTACTAGCTTGCAAGTGAATGTCCCAAATTTCCATTCCTGTGAAATGTAATAGCTGAGGCGGAAGGGGATGCTGAGTAACAGAAGGGTGTGAAGCACTAGGAGGTTGATTATGATAATAATTATCACAGATTGGGATTTCCTTTGAATCAACTGGTGAGCCATCACAAGGACACCAAGCGTACCCCCAGCTAGGTCAATGCTGTACAGGGTTATGAGAATAGAGCGAAGCCTGTCTGAGGTGTCCGGCACTGTCCTCATCATAGACTGATTCTGCTGGGTTAAGCTGCTGTTGGACATCCTGCTAAGCACCTCTTTTGAAGGTTACTGTAAAAGAAAAATGGGAATTAGTAAAATAGATATGTATTTTTCATTCCTTCACAGAATCACAGAATGGCCAGGGTTGGAAGGGACCTCAAGGATCATGAATCTCCAACCCCCTGCCACATGCAGGGCCACCAACCTCCCCATTTAATACCAGCCCAGGCTGCCCAGGGCCCCAGCCAATCTGGCCTTGAACACCTCCAGGGATGGGGCATCCATAGCCTCTATTGGAAGCCTGTTTCAGCACCTCACATCTTTCTATGTGAAGAACTTCCCCCTGACATCCAACCTAAATCTTCCCTACCTCAACTTAAAACTGTTTCCCTTTCTTTATTGTTAACTACAGAATGTTACAGATTCATGAAGTAATATGTAAGTGAACTGTGTTTGACATTATCTTACATATACATAACCTTGAAACAGTTCTCATGGTGCATATGGCAGCAATAAGCTGCATCTCTTAGTGTTAAAACATATTGTTTACAATAATGAAAGTGTTTTCAATTCAGTAAACTGCATGACAGGAAATTTTTTCAATTATTTGCCTCTATCAGCCTTCCTAAATAATTAAGACACTGACTGTTTGAAAATTCTATAAGTTTAATTTGCATCTAAGATTGAAGAAGGGGAAAATAATGAAATGTAAAGAGGCTGCACGTACAATTTATGCATAATTTATGAAGACACCATGGCCATATTTTTAGCATTTTGCTGGATGACTGCAGGGCACCCGTAAGGCAGCAACAGCTTCTAGATTTGTACAGCGCACTGGAAATAAGGATCTGCAGATTAGAAGTCAATTTCTTCTTGCTACATTTCCAAAATTTTTTGCTACAGAATTTCTCTTGCACTGCTCTATTATACAAAGTAAAGAGAAGCTAAAAATAATTAAGGATTTTTTTTTTATTTTTTTTTCAAGGAGGAAAACCTATTGGCACTTGTTGAAGGTAGCCAGATACATCCATGCTCATATTTAGATGTAACACTTGCACAGAGTTCTCTGTTTGCACAAAAGTATATGGATGTAGCATGCAGGGTACATGAACATTTTGCTAATGAGATCTCACCTTATAGAGAGTATCCAAAGAATGTAGTAATGGCTGAGATATGGTGTCTCAGAGAGGTAATGTGCTCACTCTCTGATTACTCTCTTGTTTGGAAGCAGTAACATGGCTTTAATCTGCAGTTCTTAATTCTGTTGCACTCATCTGTGAAATGATTATAAAGCACATCTCCATTATTAGAGTCCTGTTTTTCCCAGTAATTGATTGTAACTTAAGAACATTTTCAGAGAAAATTCTGATTTTTTAAGCACCAGTCAAAGTATCTTTAGAAGACCATTGGAATACTGTGTCCAAACCTGATCTAAACCCATTCTTTTAAAATGCATGTTCTAAGAAGAATTCTAAAGAGTTTAGAATTTCTCATGCCCACTAATATTTTTGAGATAGGCTTGAGAAATCTGTTTTTATTGACCTTGCTGTAAGAAGTTTTACAAGGCTTATGAAGACGACTTTCCACTCTTGGCATAAAAGAACATTCCACTATATGTTTTTAATATTTCAAACTGGCTTTAAATAGGAACAATCATTTTTTAAATGATAATAAATGGTATAATTATAGCCCAGATACCAACAGTTTATATTACTCAGAAGTAGATCAGCTTTTTGACTCTATTTATAGAAGTAAAATTATTAATTTTTACCTTGTAATGTCTTAGTTTGGTGATTCCTCCTCCCTTTACTGCCATTTCATGCACTCGTAGCATACAGCACATATAATCAGCGTGAAAAAAAGCTTTGGTCTTTGCTGTTCACCCAAGAGCAGCTGAAGGTTTTCTCAGCCCACATACAGGAAGGAAGAAGTCATATTTTTATTTGCAGAGATAGCAATCAAGTAAGTTCAACTTCCAGTATTACTCTATTGTTCACGCAGAAGAAAATGCTGTAAAGCTGCTGAGCTGTCAGAACTCATCACAGTGCTTGGACATGTAGGACAGATTCACTTGGCAGGACTGCTCCTGTCCACACTTGGTCAGTCTTAAGCTGGGCAGTGATTCCTTCAGCTGAACAACTATTACAAGGTACTGGATTTTGCCATTTAGCAAAAAGAAATATGCATTTGAGTAGGGGATTTTTCATTATAAATGTATTTTATCCTGCACTTGTTCCGTATTTAATAGTTTATAATATGTGCCAGAATAACAAGGTGTTTAGCAGAGTTAAAAAATAGACATCACTTGAACACTCTGTCTTGAAGAATATAGAGGTGGTTACTCACTGCTTAAGTAGCACAAGTAAAGTAAACTTCATATATATAAAGCAACTTATGAGTTTCTGCTGTTAAAAAACACTGTCCAAGACCAGCAACTGTTGAAGGTTATTCTGAACTACATGAAGGCTGACCCCAAGCCAAAGCATAGTTATAAGGTAAAAAGGAAAGCAGTGAGTCAGGGATTTTCCACAGACTGTAAAAAACAGTTTATTGATTAGAAATGAAAGAGGAAACAAAATATGTGGTAGTGTTTTTTTTTTTTTCAATTAGGTTTCTAAACCACAGTCAGAATGGTCAATACTCAAATAAGAATGGTTAATATACAAAGCCTTGTGAGCACTAGCATAAAGCCAATATTCCAGCAGGGCTGAACTAGCATCACTTCTGCAATTGTAAACGGTTGTCTTCTGTGGAATGTGAGGGTGGTTCCCTTTGGGAAACTTCTATTACTGAGTATAGTCATTAGGAAGAGCTGGGTAGACAGTAACTAAGTACGAACACATATACACAAAAACAAGGGCACTGAAATTCAGGGAGAAAAACTGTAAGAGTTTTGAGTGCGAGCAAGAGCACACAGAGACTGGTATGTGGGACATTCTCAAGACAAACTCTGAAAGCTTTGAGAAAACAGTTAACATTGCATTTAGACAAGGATTCGGAGCAAGTAGAAACCCTGTTTTGGAGACTGCGCGTATTGGTGGCTTGGGGGTAAGAGAAATGAATAATTGCTCCAACAGACAGAGTGAGAAAGGTAAACAGCTGTGTGAATAATGATACTCACCAGGTATGGATCCAGCTTAATACCACATAAGGACAGGCTGCTTCCTGACGTATAGTAGTAATAATGTTTGGACATCAGAATGATTGGTTGGGTCTGCAGGAACATAGAGAGGAATAGGGAGCAGCATGGGTTGCTCCCTCTGCTTTTGGCAGGTTAAAGTGCCCGTGAAACTAGCTACATTCACAGCCTCTGGGTAAAGAAGGGAAATGCATGCAGCCTTATGTTCTGTCTACAGACAGCATCTGGAGCAATCCACAGATTGAATCACCAAGTAGCACTGAAGAAGAGAGATGAAGAAACTGATTTGTTAAAATGACAATTGCAGTAACAATAGATGCTCCAGGCAGAACCAAAGCCAACTAGAATATCAAAAGCTTTGCATATTCTCTTGCCTTACCCAATCAAGTCTGAGCTCTTTGTATGCATAATAGTTCCAAAAACTACAGCCAAAGGAGCACCTTTGGCTGACATTGAAACAGATGTGGGGCAGAAACTAAACTTCTGAATTGATGTTTCACGTCCCTGAGTTGCTATGTCCTCAAAGTGCTCCTTGTATGTTGAAACTTCAGTGTTCAGTGTGTTAAACTTTTATCTTCATGTTGTGTTTAGAAAAAAAAAAAAAGAAATATAATGTGCTCAGCAAAACTAGGTCTTACATTTTAGGTCAGATTCCCATTAGGGTACAAAAGGAAATTGAGTCATCTCAGCCTGTACAAATGAACCTTAAGATCTTACTTCTGTACCTTTCATTGTAGCACAATTTGCCCCTGGTGAGAATAAAAACTGAATGAGAAATGCACATATACAGGTCAGAGATCCAGGTCAAGACTAGTATCACAAATACAGTTTAAGAAGGGAAAGAAGAAGACTTGCTGAATGTTCAGAGACTGGATGAGTTCCTCTAAGCAGTAGATTTCTATGTATTTGATTTTATTTCTGCAGGATTGCCTCTACTTTCAATGTCACTGTGTGAGAGAGTGTGTTTACTGGTCATTATAATAGCAACTGTAGTTTCACATATGAACTCAAGAGCTCCTGTCTTAATAGTATCCACCATAAAGCCATGCCACTTTGTTTTACTGGACAGATTTACAATTTTATCTACTTCCAATTTAGTGTCCTAATTACTGATCATTTCAACTATTTGTGAATACTAAATATTCTATAGCTAGTTTGTTATGGAAACTTTGCTCCATATGCCAATCATAGACAATGGCTGCGTTGCATTCCAGCTTACCAGTTTTTCTGTGGTTGCAGTGAGTAGTTCTTGCTGCCTCACTCCCAGTCTATCAGAAATGGGTCACAGGAACTGGAAAATGAGTAAATCATTTTCCTAAAACATACTCCAGTGCTTTAGGATAATTGCTTTAAATTGCAAATCCCACCCACTCATGGGGTGGGTGAAGATTTTGTCAAAATGAAGAAATGTATAATTTCAGTCAGTAAGTGATAAAAAAAAACAGATTTCAGATTCTTGGACTAATCCTCTATTTTTTGGTTGCAAATTTGAGAAGTTTCTCAAGCTTTGTCATGATGGAAGTAACTGCCTGGCTTCTCTATTTATTAGAAATAATAACACAACATAGTTGCCTCAGTCATACCTATTTAATGTGCTTCAAAATACTAAGTTTTACATAAGAAGAAAAAAGCATGTAGAGGAGTTCTACAGAGGAACTTGACAAGGTATCTCACACAAAGGTTGCATCTTGCTTTTTGAAACAAAACTTACTTCTTCAGTTTGAAGTATGGAGATAATATTTATTATTATAGGCAGAGGAACTTGTGGGCATTATTCTCCTGAGTGGTAAATACCAGTTCAGTAGTAAGATAGAACACTTACGAAATATTCATATCCTGTTGTTAGGTCTAGTTGTTCTCAATGCTCGTAAATGTTTTCGTTAATGTTTTCTCTGCTTTTTGTTGTTCTAGGAAATTGATAATACTA